CGCCCCTGCTGCCCGCGCCCCCTCCCGCTGCTGCTGCTCACGCCCCCCGTCGGGGACGCCGCGGTGATCACCGGGGTAAGCGGCCCGAGCGCACCTGTCCGCCCGGAAGCGCGCCTGGGATGCGCCTTGGGGGGCTCGAGACCCACACCTTCAACCGTCTGGACGGGTTCAGGGAGGTTGCCCTGGGCGGGGACATCAGCCTCAGTCGCTAGTTGGTGCGCTTGGAAAAGTGCCCTGCTCCCTAGACAGTGGACGGCCCGGGAAAGGGGACGCACCCTGGAGAAAAGGTGGCAAGAGTGTCACGCGCCTCCTTTATCTCCACCTTCTCGGGTTTTATTTACCCCTTATCACCCCATAACCTCGCTCCTCTTCGTGTTGAGTCTGTTTTCTTCTGTTAAACTGAAAGAAGTTTTTTTTTTTTTTTTTTTTTTTTTACTTCTGGAGGAGCCCCAGCCTTAAACTCGAACACTTGATGGTCCTTTCATGAAATGGAAGGAGCAAGACAAATTCCCCAAATCCCGGGGGTCTTAATCCCATATTCAACCCGTTTGCTCCCCGATGGCTCGCCACAGAAACCCTTTGAATTCACTTGGTCCAGGGCCATGTGTGCTTTGAAAAGCAATTGTGGGACTTCCTTCTGGGTTCCGGAGATTCCCCCCCACCAGCATCGTGCAGTTGTGTCCCTGAAAGTTTCTCCTGTTTAACTCTTGATGAAGCACAGCCAGGAAGTAGATTGCCATGTAGGTGTTGTTTACGCTTGGAGAAGCGCTCTTTATCATTTTTGAAAATAGGAACTAGTTCATTTCTCTCCCGCTCCTCACAGTCTTCTTTATGCGGATCTGAAGAATGAAGTCACTGTACAGAATTTAAAAGTCTAGTCTAGTTTACATCTGCAAAATTGCCACCATTTCCCAGTTGCTAAATTGCTTTGCTCTTTTTTAAAATTATTTTTAATGTGCAGAATCATTTTACACCTCTGTTAAAGTAACTTCAATATCGAAGTGCACATTATAGGATTTAAATAAAATATCTATCTTTGAATAATGATACATAGATAATGAAATAACCGGTAACTTTAAAGGAAAGGCTCTGTTGTCTCTATATTAATAGGTTGACAGCATTTTGAAAGCCCTTGCATTATGACAGCATTTGACTGTATCCAATAGATATTTCATTATAAGCTTTGTGGTTTTATTAAGAGATTTTTTAAAAAGTGTTTGTGTAACCTGTGGCCAGTCCATGTGGTTGAGAAAAACGTTTCTGCAGGTCTTTATAATATATGAAAATTGAAACATGATTGGGTTTTTTTTTTTTTTCCCCTTCCCCTGCTGGCTCACTTTAAATGTCTCCTAATCCTCTGAGCCCAAGATTCTTTTGCAATATAAATGTCTTTTTGTTCCATTCTCCAGACAACACTGTTTGAATAGACCTGCAATGGGTTTAGGATGAAGGGCATTAGGAAACAGCTGTCTAATTAAAAATATATAAATCTATGTAATTCTTTCTAAATTATCCGAGAACTGCAGCCTTTTGTCCCAAAATGACGTTATTTTACATTGGATGTTAGTCTGTTAGATTTAGACTGGGAGCATATATTATAGTTATGTGTGCTATTGTTGTTTTCACTCAGTGCCACAGAAAGAAAGATTTTTAAAATTTATCTAAAGCAACATGGCAATAAAATGAAGTTATTTCTCAGAGACAGGAGCCATCTGGATTCAAATGAAAAACCCAGTGACTTACTAGATATATTGTGTACAGAATACTAAACATTCAAGTGATTGATTGAAATTTAAAAGATTTTGGTGAATTTTTGACTGTCTTATAAAAAGAGCTAGTGAGACTTCAAGTACTAAGTAGTTGTTGAAATGATATATATGCTAGCTGAAACTTCCACTTCAAAAATTTACCTTTTTTTTTTTTTTTTTTTGGTAATAGATGTAGGTATTTTGAGATTGATTTCTATGTCCACATAGAATTTTTTAAAAATATATTGGAAAAGATAGTTGATCGGTCATCTCATTTATGGAACGTCATGTATGCCACACGATATGTGGCATACAGATAAAAATTGGAAAACGGGAATGTTTAGATATTGTACTATAAAATCCATACACTCCAAGATGAAAATTGCGGTTTTTTATCCAGATATGTATTTTCGATAGACTGAGAAGAGAAAAGAAATTTTAATGGAGGAAGTAAGCAAACTCTAAAGCAAGATTGTTGGTCACTTTTATTTAAAAATAATAAGAATGTTCCCGTATATTTATGTTTTGAGTATTTATGTATATTATGTTATTGACTGATCCTCAAACTGAGAAATTTTGAGAACTATTTGTACACTCGTGTCCAATAAGTATACATTTAATTTTGCACCTAAATGACAGATTTTTTAGTGTCTTATGTATTGGTACAGGCTATTTCTCTTACCTTATTTTGCTTTTCCTACCAAGATAGATTACTGCACGTAGTTCAAATGAAGCATCCTGGTTTTTGTTGGCTCTAGGCTACCACTGTAGGTTCTCAGATCCATTTTCCTCCAAATATATTTAGACTTCAGTGTGTATATCTATGTAGTAGAGTACAGACATTCCTCCATAGCTGATTCTTTGAGTATGTCCGTTTCGAGTTTTTCTATTGACAGCAGGTGTTCTGAGTCATTAATGGTGGTCCTGTCATATCGCATGTCCAAGGCTGATGCATCTTCCAGGATAGTTTGGCGGATTTTGTAACACACACATACATGCACCTGAAGCTGGTAGTTTCCTTTTCTGTAGGTTATTTACCCACAAGAGGAGCATCAGGTACAAGCCTTGGTCTGTCCATTCTCAACCTATGAGATTTCTTTAAAGAGGAAACGATGGAAATCAGATCAGTGGTATGAGAAACGTCAAGTCTCCTGAACCAAAATGCAAATATTTGAGAGGGAAAATGAACACTTCTAAAATTTACATCAGTGCCTTTATGGGTCTGGAGTGTTTCATGCCAGATTTAGAGAGCATTTAAATCTCCTTTTAAATTTGGGCCCAATGTATTCTGCAGTTAATAGTCATAAAATCTTGTGGTTCGATTTATGAAGTTCCTAATGGCCGTGTATATTATAAGACTAATACAGACTCATTCTTCATGTTCAAAGCCCATTCAGCCATAAAGCACTAGAAAACGAAAGCCAACTTTTTTTATTTTTTAATCTTATGTTTATTTAAGATTCCCATCAACTAGGGGCTATTATTTAGTCTACTTTTGAGAAACAAAAAATATATTATGATCAGATTTTATTATAGATATGTCCAAGCTAATGGAGGTTTTTGTTTGTTTGTTTGTTTTTTAAATCATAGTGTTTGGCTAAAGAGCATTTTCACTGCTAAGTTTAGATTTTCTTAGCCTGAGCCTTCCCTGCTCTGTATATTTATCTTTTTGTTTATTATATTTCAGGCCTGCGACAAGGACCCCCAGTGCGGTGGAGGCATGTGCTGTGCTGTTAGTATCTGGGTTAAGAGCATACGGATTTGCACACCTATGGGCAAAGTGGGCGACAGCTGCCACCCTCTGACGCGCAAAGTTAGTATACATGCTCGTACTCACCGTGGTTCCCTAATGTCATGATGACTGTCCGGAGCAAGGCCTGTGTGACAGGAAGGCCTGGATGATGTGCTTGGAATTGGGAATTAGACATGACAGCCATGGGCAACCACCCTGCTTCCCCTTTCCTCTTCCGTTTCAAAGAATTGAACCCTCTGCTGTCCTCCTCCTAGTGACAGTTTTCATATCATTGCTCTCACAGCATTATCACTAGTTTATCTAAAGAATTTCTAACACAGGGATTGCGTGACAATTATGTAGGACAAAAATGTGTTTATGTATTAGGTTGTCAGAAAAGTCATGGTATATTTTTCTATGCAAAAATGTACGTGCGCGCGCACACACACGTTTCTTTGCAGAAGTAAGAGTACAGAAGCTATGTGTTTTGTTATTTCTTCCCGCAAAACATCAGTAATACAATTTCTCTTACTTCTTCATTGGAAAGTTCTATATCTGGACTCCACCGACAGGGTATATTGTTCACAGCTTTAAAGATCGACGATGTTTAATTTTCCAATTTACTTTGTTGTCTAGCCGCTTGAGATCACAGTGACCTAAATAACATTTTTGAAAAGTTAGTAACAGTAAGTGGCATGACCGTGGGAGGCAGGATTAGATGGAACTTTAGGGATGATGTCCCCAGGGGTCTCAGACCGGCCTGTCGGCGAGGGCAGGACAGATCGGCATTATATCAGGACAAGGGCATGTAGGAGACATACAGAACAGAGAAGGATGCGGGGCCGTGAAACATCTCCCTTCAAATGGAAAACTGTTTTTTCTTTTTTAAAGATTTTTGCTATAGGGCACATGTGCTTGCCAGAGAGAGGGAAAGTGAGAAATCACCCCTCGGAAGGATGGCCATTTTGCAGTTCCTCCGTTTCCATCGCCTCAGAATCTTGGGCACACACACACACACACACAGCATGTTTTTAAGCTGCTGGGCCCAGGACTTGAACCCTGGATTCAGTCAGGTGGGATCCAGCACCTTACCCCCCCATGCCACCTTTTGGCCCAAAATGGAAAACCTTTGAAACATAGTGTGGCCTCAAGAAAGCCCCAGAGATGCCAGGTTGCAATGGCTTCCTCTAGTCTCACCTCCATTTACCTCTCAGGAAAGTGCAGTCCAAATGCATTGAGAGGCATCCTCGGCCAGAAGGCTTGCTGCAGGCAGGGTTCAGTCCCGCTGCCCTGTTTTCTCTACACATTGTGTGAGGGGACTTCGAGAAGTTGATAGAGAATGTGCATTATGGAAAAAAACTGCATGGATTTCAAAATCTTTGCACCGGTGTAAAACTTGTACTTTAATTCCATTTATCCAGGCACTTTTAAAGAAAATTTATGGGACCAGCAGTTAGCGTAATGGCTATGTCGCTGGACTCCCACGTAGTAGACTGCGGTTCGAATCCCGGACCCAGTGGCTTAAACTCACGCCGGGCACATGTGTGTGCATGCCCAAGATCCTGAGAGGAGAATGGAGGAGAAGGGATTGCAGCGTGGCCATCCCCCCGGCGGGTGATTTCCCGCTTTCTGTCTCTCTGTCTGGCGAGCGCACGCGCCCTATAGCAAAAACCTCTCCAAAAAAAAAAAAAAGGAAATTAATTATTATTCTTCTATTTGGCCAGAGAGAGAGAGAGAGAAAGCAAGCTGCGAGGTCGGGGACGTGAACCACGGTCAGCCATGTAGGAATCCAGCGTCTTAACCACCACATCACCTGCCATCCCCTATCCAGGCACTTTTTGAAGTCCCTTTGTATACTCTTATTTTATTGGGTCATCAGAGAAGTCATGATGTATTTTTTTATGTTTTTCTGATGACCCCATACAATAGGTCAAATATTTTCATTTTTTTAAGAATTTATTTCTTTACTCATTATTTTAATTTTCTATAGGGCCCATGCACTTACCGGAGAGAGATAAGGGGTTGGGGGAGGTTGAGAAAGCAAGCCGCCAGTTCTGGGACTCAAACCACAGTGGGAGTCTAGTGCCTCAACAACCGCACTACATGCTGGCCCCCAGGTTGAATATTTTCAAAGCAAACTGAATTCCGTTGTCAATGTTATTTTTTTTACATGTGATTTAGGGTTTCAAACTTTAATAGAGCCACACATCTTTCTTATACTCAGTTCCAGATAATAGTTAATATTTTGATCTCCTAGGAGTGAACAAAATGAAATAACTTGTGGCCTATTGGCTTGGCTTGAGCTCTGTGAGCTGTCGCATAGATTCCAGTTGTTGGGCCTATCTGAAGACAGAATTTGCTTTCGGCTTTCCTGCGGTTACCTTGTGAAATGTTTCCTGTTACGTTTGAGCCATTCCTCCCTGTGGTTTTACCACTCAGGACTGTACTGTCCATTTTAAACATGATTTACACCTTTCCTCTTCCATTTCAAAGAACTGGACCCTCTGCTAGCCTCATTCTAGTGATACTTTTCATATTGTTGCTCTCACAGCATTAGAAATAGCTTTTCAAAATAATTTCTAACACATGAACTGCATTAAATCCTTGGTCATCTGTCTTATTGCCAAACTCTCCATGAGGAAGTGAACCTGGCACAGTTACGTCCAGCATTGATCTGTTTCTTCCAACACCCTTATTGAATAAGACTCATCTTTTATTCATTTAAGTTATTGTCTCCAAAAAGTTTATTCTTAACCTTCTCCTTTAAGAATTATGTTGGGAGGGACCAGCAGTTAGCGTAATGGTTATGTTGCTGGACTCCCACGTAGTCGACCGCAGTTCGAGTCCTGGACCCCGTGGCTTAAACTCATGCCGGGCGCGTGTGCGTGCATGCCCAAGATCCCAAGAGGAGAATGGAGGAGAGGGGATGGCGGCGTGGCCATCCCCCTTGTGGGGTGATTTCTCGCTTTCTGTCTGTCTCTGTCTGTCTGGCAAGCACACATGTCCTATAGCAAAAAAAAAAAAAAAAAGAATTACGTTGGGACCAGCAGATGGCGTAATGGTAATGTGCTTGGACTCCCACACAGCCGACCACCATTCGAGTTCCCTCAGCGACTTAAAACTCACACCAGGCACATGTGCAAGTTCCCTCAGCGACGTAAAACTCACACCAGGCACATGTGCACGTGTGCATGGGTACCCGAGTACCCAAAATCCTGAGAGGAGAATGGAAGAGAAGAGATTGTGGCATGGCCATCCCCATTTGGTGGTGGCTTCTCACTTTCTGTTTCTCTGTCTCTCCAGTGAGCACATGCCCTATAGCAAAAATCTCTCTCAAAAAAAAAAAAAAGAAAGAAAAAGAAAAGAAAAGAAAAAGAAAAAGAACTATGTTGGTTTGGTCTGGCCCTTTAGCCTAGTGGTTAAGGGAAATTTATCCATATGTCCAATTGCAGCTCAAGTTCCAACCCTGGTGGCTTGAAAAACACCAGGTGAGGCCAGCAGGTGACATGGTGGATAAAGTGCTGGATTGCCACATGACTAACGGCTGTTCAAGTCCCAAGCTTGGCAATTTGAAAATCACGTGTATGTGTGTGCGTGCCCAAAATCCCAAGAGAAGAATGGAAGAGAAGGAAATTGTGGTGTGACCATCCTTCCTGGGTGTGTAATTTCTCACTTTCCCTTTCTCTCTCTCTCTCTCTCTCGCTTGCTCACTCTTTCTCTATAGCAAACTCACACACCCTGTGGCAAAAACATAAAAAAGAGAGAGAGAGAGAGAGAGGGAGAGAAGGAAAAATACACAAGGTACATGGGTGTACATTGTTCAAATTCCAACAAAATATAGAAATAAAGAAGGGATTTCAGTGTAACCACACCCCAGCAGGGGATACTTTCTCCCTTTCTTTCTGTCTATTCCAATACATAACAACTGGCAATTTTTTTTTTTAAGAAATAAGAATTTTAAAATATTTCTTTTAAAATTGGATTAATGGGGGACCAACAGGTGGAGAGATGGCTGAGGCACGATTCTCCCACATGGCCAACCACAGTTTTAATCCTGGAACCAGTGGCTTGAAAATCATGCTGGGAAATCATGCAGGGCGTGTTTGTTTGTGTGCCCAGAATTCCAGGAGAATGGAGGAGAAGGGATTGTGGTGTGGCCATCTCCTTTGGGGAGTGACTTTTCAATTTCCCTCTCTCTGTCTCTCTTTGGTGAGCCCTGTAGCAAAAAAAAAAAAGAAAAAAAAGAAAGAAAAGTAAAACCAACCAAAAACGGGGGTGGGTGGGGAGGGAGGGTTAATGTACTGTTTTATTTATTTCCAAGTAGGAGATATTTTAAATCTACCCACAATTTTCTTATAAGATTCATTTTCCACGAACTTTTGGAAGCCTCTTTGTATAGTCTTAATCACTCTATATTCTTCCACCTTTATGAATACAACGGTGGTGTTCAGTCTGAACAATTTTCATTCTAATTAGCCGAAACTCATTTGTGTACAGAGGCAAGATATTCATCAAGAGCCGTGATAATGGTCAGAGTGGGAATTTGGACCATGTGGTAGTGTGGATGAATTCCCCAAATCTGAGATTTTAAACAGGGAACCTAACTCCATTTCCCCTGTTCCTAGAAAACTTTTTGTTCAGATTTAATGCAGCATTAACTCTGAAAGTAAACAAAATCAGTCTACCCTCACAACCTGGATGCATCTCTATGGTTTTGTTTTTATCACAGGTCAAGTAATCAAACGTTCACGTGGTAGGTACTGGTTTTCATGATAAAGTCATGAAAAGCCAGCTGTGGTAGTGGAGCAAAAACACACTCTCCATAATGCTGAACCCACTAGGAAGTTTGTGGGTTCACGTTCTGGGAGTTCCCCATAAGTGCTGGGCAATGTGCCGTGATCCCAGCTAGCTAAGGGTGGAGGGGATTATAGGGTAAGCACAAACTTGGGTGTGCGTGTCACTCTCTCATGGAAGAAATAAATAACCTTAAGAATATTAAGTGGTAGCATAGGAGCCAGCTGATGGCATAGTGGTTAAGGCACTAGACTCCCACATGGCCAAGTGAGGTTCTAATCCCATAC